ACCCTTTGATAGGAAGGGGGTAAGCAAGAAAAAGATTGTCCTGTCAGGCTGGTGTGGAGCAGCCTCTGCTCGTGACATGCCATGTGTTTTCCTGAGTTTGGGAAGCAGTGAGTTTCAGTGAATGAGTGGAAGTTTGCCGTGAGCAGGGGTAATTAGTGGTCAGAACACAGGGAATTTTGTGTTGTGTTGATGACAAACATAACTGGAATGGATGTTAGTTGGATTCAGTAGGAGGAGCAGGCCTTTACCTTCTTTGTTGTTTTAAAGCTAGTCAAGGAAAAGATTCAATTACTTGAGGGATTTTCTTCCAGAAGCACTTCAGGGATGTAGGAGCATCAGCTGTTCTGGAAGCAGACAGAACTTGGCACTTAGTAGCTCCTCAGTGACCTCCTTGTAGGGTTTCATTCTGGTGAAAAAGGTGATTTTCTGGTGAAAAAGGTGATTTTTTGGCTTCCTGCATCACATCTGTGAGGGCCTGTCATGGTTCTCCTTGAAGCATCAAAGCCCCTAAGCTATTGGACCTTAACAGAGGGGAAAATTTAGTTCCAGGTTTCAGTATAAAAGCTTTTCAGAGTTTGGATCTTCAAGTTCTGACTTTCTGCCAGTAAACAGTGGGAGACAGCAGACCGTGGCTCTGCTGATGAAAATCTGTCATTTTGAATAGGGAGGGAAATTTTACAACACCAAACATCTGAAAAGACCAGAGGAAATGGAGTGGTTGATGGGAACCTGCAGGTACCAGTGGGTTTGTGAAGGACATTGTTTGCATGCTGAGCAGTGGAGCAGATCAGATGCTTCTTTTTCTGTTCTGTATGATAACTCTGGTTTTAACTTCAAATAATTTAAAATAAAAAATTAGAAACCAAATACAAAATTGGGTATGGAGTGCTGCAAGTGCTGGAGTCCCCAGCACAGGAAAGACATGGACCTGCTGGAATGAGTCCAGAAGAGGGCCATGAAGATGCTCAGAGATGCATGAAGATGCACCTCTCCTGTCAAGACAGGCTGAGAGAGCTGGGGCTGTTCAGCCTGGAGAAGGCTCCAGGGAGCCACTATAGCACCTTGCAGTGCCTAAAAGGAGAGAATTGGAGAGAGGCTTTTTACAGGGGCATGTAGGGATAGGACAAGGGGGAATAGTTTCAGACTGACGGAGGATAGATACAGAATTCAGACTAAGTCATTCCAGAAAGTCTAAAATAAAATTATATTGATGTAAAATTAATTTAAATTACAGTAAGAAGAAATTCATTACAGTAATTTGACAAGAAACATTAGGTTAGGAAACAAATGTAATCAGCATTTCTAATACTTTCTGGTTTAGACTTATTCACTTAGTTCTTCTTTCTCCTACACGAATAATACCATATGTGTATATTTGGTGAGTGTCTTTCAGCCAGTTGGAGGAAGGGGGGAAGAGAATTCTTGTCTGGGACACAGTGCTGCTGTTCCCTCTTTTCAGGAGATATTTTGGGCACATATTAATCTATACCCATCTAGATCTCTGGCTGCATTGCTGTTCCTCAGTGCTTCTGAATTTCTTCATCACTCCTGTGTTTCAAAGAGTGAGGAAAAGCAAACAAATGAGTGAAGATGAAGTGACCCTCTCTCACATTCCCTCCTGAGCTGTAGCAGATGAAGTCTGGGAGTGCCTCCTGCATGGCACCTAATTATGCATGGCACTTAATTATGAGGACAAGAGCAGCTGGGAAAAGCCTGGAAAGCATATTTTCTCTGGGCTAGTGCAGATCAAGAAATTCCCTCTGCTCCCTCCTGATACACAATCTATTCTTAAAAGTTATGAAGCCCAGGCTGGGTTGTTGAATTTTAAAATAGCAGCTGTGAAACAGAAACTTCTGCTTTTACACGAGGAAGCTCTGGTTTCGCAGAGGCAAAGGGGTGCAGCTGCTCAGAATGGTTACATTTCTCTCTCCACATTTTTTCTGTTATGGTAGTGTCTGTCTAGCTTCAGGCTGATTCAGCAAGATTAGTATGAAAATAGCCCTATGAAAATAGTTCAGTAAAAATTAAAGAGTCAGCTGGGAACTGTGTGTTCGCTGAAGACGGCCAATTTCTAAAATTGTTTAGAAAAGTATTTTTTGATGGGGAAAAAAAAAAAGAAAAAAAAAAGAATTTGGTTCTGAGGTTATGATTTGAGAGCTGTGACACATATATGGGGTTGCATGCCATGTTACTGCTGCCCTGAAAGTTGGTGAGAGGAATTCTAGCTGCAGCGTTAAAACTTATTTATTATTCCTTAGCAATTTGGAGTACTGTAGCATTACTGGCATTTGCCCTAATCCTCTTTTAGCTACACCTCGGAAGAAATGTATTTGTCCAGCATGTGAAATATTATGCAATAGTAAAGAAAAATATGCCATCAGTGTTTCATGACTGATCATGTGTTCTCAGCTTCACTTGCTTATTGCTGAGTTGCCTGAAGCAAGATATACTTAGCCTGAATTAACTGAAGCAGACTTTGAAGTCTTGAGAATTTCCTTGATCATTTTGAAAGGTTTTGTAAGCTATTGAAAAATATTTGGAAAAATAACTTGACACTTGTTCTGTAGTTAACATACGCTTGTCAGTCTCTGCTGTGCCTGGCAGCTCCCTGTGTGTATTCGCTTTAGAATCCATGAATCTTGTCTGAGAAGGTGAGGGAGGGGTAATGAAAAAATAAAAAAATACCTGGGGAGCCTAAGTGAGGTGGAATTTACTGTTTACTTTGTTTAAGAGACAGTGTGCAGCTTCTTGCTGTTAGCTTACCAAAGCAAGCGGGGCTGCAAGCGCAATCGTGTGTCCTACAGCTGCCTCACACCAGGAAGGGCATGGCTGGCATGGACACGTGTGGTTAATCCTGCTGAGCCCAGCGGGAGCTGCACAGGACCTGCAGAGCTGTGCCTGCTGGCAGCTTCCTGGCTTGCTCTGTGTGAAGGCTTCCAGGACCTTGCTGAGTACCACTAACAAGCGAGGGGTAAGGAAGTGATGTGCATGTTTCCCCCCTCCTGGTTGCCCTGGCCCATGGCTAGAAAATGTAGTGATTTCTCAGCTGTTCTCTCTGAAGTGGTCTCTGCACTGCTTGAGCTGTGCTCTGATCCTCTCCACCATCATCTGTCACATGCTCCCTCTGGTCTCTGCATGCATTTATTTTCCCTTCCCAGCACATGCCTTCTCTTTTCCCCTTGTTGTTGCGACCAGTATACATGTAGGCAGAGTCTGTTTGTCTCCCTGTGCTCTTTGGGAGTGGAGGGATAAGAGCTCCATTGTGTTCCCAGCCCTGCCAAGTTTACAGGGGCTCACAAGAGGCTCTGCTTTTCTGGAAGATGAGTCAATGTTTCTTTTAATTAAATTGAATTAAATAAAGCACAGTTAAAGCCAATATGCTGAAGGAAATCCAGTAAGGAGGAGAAAACAACCTGGGCCTGTGAAGTGGGCTGAAAAGAGGCAGGCATCTGTCTGTACATAACCTCCAGTACGGCAGGTCTTCCCTCTCAGGATGTTCTGTAGAACCACAGAAAGAGTGAACAGAGTATTAGTTATGAATTAGTTATGAACACATTACTATTTCAGCTTCCTGCACCTGTCCCTTTATGGGATTCAGTACTGAAGCTTAAACCAGACTCTTTAAGAGTAAGTAAATTTTAAAAAAGAAAAAAAAATCCTGGTACTTTCAGCTGAGGGACTGTTGGGGTTTTTTTTCTTTCAGCAGCAGCTGTAGAGCTTTACCCAGAGCATTCAGCCAGCAGGTTCTGCATGGTGGCCCAAAGTCTGACCTAGAGAAACAATGTTGGCTTCCATTGGTCTTTGCTGTGTGTGTTTCTGTAAGAATGGTAATTCACTTTATTATTTGTTCTCTAATGGAGAGCCTGGCACTGGTGTGAAAGCGAATTTCTGTTTCTCTACCAAGACCATGCCATGGAACAAGGCATGCAGAATAGGATTCTCCTTGAAGATGGAACATCTTTGCTTTGAATCTGGGAGTAGACTAATTGCACATAGAGCTTGTGGGCAATTTGTAGAACCTATTGATCAGTTGACTGAATTATTTATAAGTTCCTGCTGTATGTGTTTTCACTGCTGCCTAATGGAAGCATTAGAAGACTCATGTTCATCATCTTGAAAGCATGTTTGCCCTGTTGTACCCAAACTCAAGGCAATAAGGTTTTGTGCAAAGAATCTCTGGACACTGGGGAAGAGAGATGGGATCTCAAGCTCTAATGTAGTTACAGTTTACATGGTGAAACATTCCTGTTTTCAGCAGTGATTCACCTGTGGCATCTTCATTTAAAGACAGATCTCTGGCTTCCTGTGCATTTGCTCTGCCATTTTTTATTTCACAAAAAGTCCAGAACTTGTTTCTCCTTCCCTTTGCTTTTTTATACCACCACTTTGTGTCTCTGCAGTCCTTGGGCCTGTCTTCCTTTGCCAGACTTGTATGGCTTCTTACACCAATGTTGGGACAGATGTTTGTCACTTTCCTGGTCAGATCCAGTGCCCTTCTTTTAGCAGTGATTAGCAGCCCTTCAGTTCCCTGGCCTTCAGTGCAAAATACTTCATAGTTGACGTTTAATAGTTTGGTATCATTCTTCTAGTTCTGGAGATGTTCTGGAAATAGTTCAGTCAAATCCCCTCCCTGAAATTAGAGACATCTCGTTCCGTCGTGGTTGCCCTGACAACCACAGGCAGGTTGCACAGACAGGTAAGATGCATGACCTGCAGGAGAGCTTTACACCTCCTCTAGAGTGGCATCTGGAGGGGAGGGAGGCTGTCGTGTATTTGTTGAAGCACCACTTCAGATGTCCCAGGTTTGGACAAATTACGTCCTTAGCGTTGTACCAAGGTCACAAGTTATGTAGCATTTTCAATCTCTTGATTGTAGGAGTAGATTTATTGCATGTGTATCTTAGTTTTATGTATTCAGATAGAAACAGATGAGAGACTTGTTCAGAATCACAGCAATAAAACTGTACAACGTATTTCCTCTTTTTGTCTTCCATCTGCAGGTCCACCAAGAGCAAAGGAACCACACCAGGGAACCTGTGATAGACGACTACAAAAAGATGGGGACTCTCTTTGGAGAACTAAACAAAAGCCTTATCAGAATAGGCTTCACAAGGATGTACTTTGGAGAACGGATAGTGGAACCTGTGATAATTATATTCTTCTGGGTTATGCTCTGGTTTCTTGGCCTACAAGCTCTTGGACTAGTGGCTGTTCTGTGCCTTGTTATTATTTATGTACAACAGTAAAATTTTAGATACTATTTGGATGATTTCTTTCAACACTGTCACTATGTCAGTGGATTTATGTGTTAAAAGCTGCAGTGCTTCAAATTGCTGAACTTCTGAGGAGGGGGACTAAAATTCCATTGTGAACCAAATCAGCACTGCTCTACTGGGGGGAAGAAAGGAGATGTTTGTAATATAATGGTGTGAAATGTACTGTTTTCTGTGCTCTTGGGGCCTTAGCCAAAGGACTGGCTTTTCATTTTCCCTTCCACTCTCCCCATGATCTTGCTTTGTATAGTGAAAATTTCATGTCTGATTTTAAGAGGACACTTGGTGTGAGTGCTGTTTCACTGCTGGGAGGGCTCATGTGCTGTTTGTTCCCTGAATCTGCATAATTTGTTAGTGTTCTGCTGAAAAGCTAAATCTGCACAAGGCAGATTTGGTAACAAACCTGCATTTGTAAGATGAGTACAATTTCCAGACACAAAAGCAACTTTGGGTAGTGTAGCTCATGGTAAGCTCTCCCCCAGAAAACAAGCTGTACCAGCAAAATGCTCTTACACAAATGTTAGTGACACCAAACAAGACTTCAGCTGTTGTTCAGGAGAAATTGCAGTCCTACATTGGCCAAGAAGTCTAGTGTAGCGCTGCCTTGTTTTCTGGAAATGTGCTCAGCTCCTGCTGCTATTTTTCTTCCTTTATTTTTTGTGCTTGCTCTTTCCCCCAGCTCTCCTTCTTAAGATAAATATTTGGATAATTCATGGAGTTTGTAGGTAGTTCCAGCTGCAGTGTTGGATACTTGCCATTCCAGACAGCAGTGCTAGAATGTTGTCTCCTTCCTGTGCGTGGTGTAACAAGTGGCTGAGCAACCAGATACCAGACCAGACCTCTCAATGCTTCCCACATTTGCTGCAGTGTGGGCCCACAGAAACTAAAGCTTTGTGCACCTAAGCCAACTGGACCTGTTTCCTCATGCAAGGCAAGAATGGAGTTGAAACCAGGTAGTCATTTTATTTAGTAGTCTTGACTGGTTCCTTTCTATACTAGGCAGCAAAAATGCCTACCCACAGGTACATGTCATGGGCCACGCAGCCTAGAGAGTAGCTTGTGTAGATTCAGGAGTGGGTGCAAAATTCACTCAGCTCCCCAGTAGCCACCCCAGGGGTGTGCTGGCAATTTCCAAGTTCGCTTCTTCTCCTGAAGAGAAACAGAGAAATGGGACAGAATCTTTACTACTTATACTTTACTGCTACTGCTAAATAGGCTACCAGTTTAATATTTGTTGTACATTACTCTTAGCAAGAAATTTAATTGCAAAACTGATTTCATCTGTGGTAGAGTGAAATTACATATTTGCTTAAAGAGATGTAATAGGAGGAAATGTGAAATTTACAGGAAATTAACCTTTTGCAGTGACTTTTTTCCTAAATGTTTTTACAACAATAAATTAGTTGAAGATGCTGTTTTATTCAAATACTTTTAAAGTCAAGGAAGGGTTCTCTATAGTCCCATTCCTGCAGCTGGATTTTCAAGTCCAGCTTTATGCATGGATCATTTTGTCTGTTAGGCTGTTTCCAGGGCTCCTGGCCCCAGTTCTTATAGACTTTCCTGTTAGGGAAATAATTGTTATTAAAAGCCCAGCTCCTCTAGTCTTTTTTACTGAAATGCCATCTCTACATGTGTCTCTGTGCTTTTGTAATGAACAGGTAGTGTCCTTCTGAGGAGGCAGGTCACCTCTCTGGATCTTCAGATGACCCTGCACGTGGATTCAGGAGGCTCTGCTGAAGCAGCAGGGCTGCAGGGCACTGGGACTGAGGCCCAGCTCTGTAGTTAGATGGCAGCCTGTGTTGATTGGCACCTGGTTAAATAGTTCTGCTGGTGGCAGGGAAGCCTTGGACTGCAAGTACAGGCTGAACTCAGAGCCAGGAGCTCTGTACTCAAAAGTGCCTAGGGGTAGGCTTTGGGTTTGTTTCAAGTCCCCTATAAGGAGAACATCTGTTTACATCTTTGCAGATTTGTATAGATAGAATGGTGGCGTTATGTGTATTCTCTTCCTGTATAAGGGCTGTATTACAAAAGCATCCTGTTGTTAAAAGTAAAACAAAAAAAATCCTTTCTTTCTTCCCACAATCCAGTTACTGTACAGAGGATCTCATCTAATTCCCTTCATCCCATAGGAAAAAGTGGATCTGTGATACCCTTGTTGCAGTAGTTCTGTTGTGTGAAGGTGCTGTGCTGTGAGATGGCATGTGGTATTTCCTTGAAGTGCTGGTTGTGCTCTGTACATAAGGAAGGGGGAACAGTGAACCACGGGTGTGACCAACAGCTTCAGTGAGGGCATTGTTTATATGCATGTGACCTTTCAGTCTGAGCAGAACTGGGACTGTTGCACGCTCCAGTTCAGTTCAGTTGTTTGTTCGATGTTCGTGTTTGTGTACATGTACTCTGGGGAAAGGTGGGGTAGCTTTGGGGCTGATACTGTGTTCAGTGGATGTCTTAGGTGGTTTCTCTTAAGGGGAACTATGTCTTGCCCTTTATAGAAGTTTTGCATTTTTAACAACCTGAAAAAACAGTGCTAGTGGTGTAAGGTTGGCTGAAAATGGAAAAAGAAGAATGCATTGCATGGATAATTCCCCTCTCCTGTTTGGTGTCATACATTCCCTTGTATATAACGATTTGTACTGAAATGTCTGTCCTAATTTTGTGCTATTACTGTACTATCTCCCTCTCATTTGCTGGGAAGGCAGGAGGAGCTAAGGAAAAAGGGGAACTGGGATAGAATCAGACATAAAGAGTGGAAAGTGGAATGCTGTGAAACGATGCATGTATGTCTCCAGAGAAGTCTGATCATAAATGTGTCCCAAAAGTGAGGGCGAAATGGGTGAACAGTCCTTGCTTGTGTTCTTTATTCCATCCAGACATAGTAGGAAGGCAAAGGAAGCACCAAATGTTCAAAAGATGTCCCTAGCTAAAAAAAGCAGGAGGTTAATTTTTAAAAAGAAAAAAAAGGCAATTGCACAGTTGTCTATATAGTAAAAATTGATAATGTTATTTATGCTGTTACATATTATTATTATTGATAGAGCTGAAAGCACCTTTATGCATCTGTGTGTAAGACTGTATGAAAGAATTATGTCCCTTAAATCTTGTGTTTAACAACAACAAACAATATAATTCCTGTTGGTCAGTGTGACATTGCAAGTGTTTTACAGAACCTCCATTTTTTAAGAGATGGACTCTTCAGTGCTGCTTCACACCTGCCAAATGCATAAATGGTTGAGATAGTGTGTACAGAGAAGCTCTGCAGGAGAATCTTGGAGAACCCTCTTTGTGCTGAAACATCATCACATCAAAACTGTCCATATAAAAAGGAAAAATCCTATTTCTTAAAAACTCTGTATTGAATGAATCCAATGGGATGCACTTTGTTACTCTTTCTAATAAAAAGTATTTCCATCAATGAGATCTATGGATTCTTTGTGGTGCTTTGTTCAGAGTTACTTGGATCCTTTCAAAATGTCACGGTGGGCCCAGATAAAATAGGGCAGTGTTCAGACATCCACTGAAATCAGTTAACTTGCTGCTGGTGGAGAAAAAACTGCAGTGCTACAGCTGAATAAACTGCATCAGGTCTCTGTGGTTGTATGCAGCAAGTTATGCTAAACTAAAAGAAAATAAATGTTAGCTCTAGATGTTAATAATGGCAACGTTATGGTGTAAAGTAGCTTTTGTTTCACAGCATATCTATTTTACATCCAGAGCAGCTTCTGAAGGAAACCAGATGTGAAGGGATGTGAAAAATCCTTTGAAGTGATAATTGCTGTGCCACAGAAAGGTTTGGGTGTTTTCAGTTGGTTTTTTTTTTTTTTTTTTTTTTTAGATGCACATAGAACATTATGTGGTTCAAAACGAATCTTCTTCAAGCTGTTGTTTTGGTTTGTTTCTGCAGGTCAGAAAGGTGTTCATCCTGCCACATCCAGCAGACACTTCAATGTATCGGTGTTGCTCAGGATGCCCCATGAGTTAAGTTGTTTATATTTCTTTAAAGTAGCAAGGTTGAATTTTGGTCCTTTGAACTCTAATTGAATGTGCACAAAAGAAATAGGGTTCATTCCTGAATAGATTCAAGCCTTCAGGTTTTATTTCAGTTAAAGTATCGTTGTCAGGCCTTTTATAGAGTGTATGCATATTCAGAACAACCTGGCTTTGACTTGATTCTTTCCATCCTGGGCTTTACTCTAGGGTTTAGGAACTTCTTAGCCTCTCCCTTCTGCCAGAACTGACAGCTTTATCTGCTTTCTCCATTCCTCCTTTAACTCTGGCATTCCTTCTCTAGGGGTGTCCCCTTTGAACAGTCTTTCTGTGTGCCAAGGGTTCAGGCTTTTTCATCATTCAGTCTTATTTAAAGCCACCTAGACAGAAAATCTATTTTCACATTGGTGTTTTGTTTGTTTTACTGTTTGCCTGCTTAGCACCAGAGGGGAAAAAAATAGAGGAATTTTAAAAAATATGTCTGGTCAGTCACTTCGTTTTTACAGTGCTTATCTGCTGGTTTAGATGATGGTTACCAAACTGTGGTTTGCAATCACCAAAGAGAGCACTGCAGGTGTGGAGGGTGAGGAGCTGTTGGGAGGCTGCCACCAGGATTTTCAGAATAGACAGGTCAAGCCAGCACGTGGCTTAGGGTTGTTTCAGCCTTAAACAGGCAGGTGAACTTGTAGCTTCCCTTAACTCCTGCCAATGCCTTGGTTGCTTCCAGGAATATCTCAAAATGCATATAAAATCATCAGTGTTCCTTCTACTGAAGGAATCTGAGTCTGAAGAAAACTGAGCTTTCGCCAGCTCTGTTTTTCACAGAGGAACCAAAGGGAATGGGAAAGGGGAATTGGACTAATAACTAGTAAGTTTTAACTTGCATGCAAGCTTCTGGTGGTTTCAAATTCTGGTCTTGTCCTGTCCAGATAATATTTGTGTCTTGTGTGCAGTTGTCACAAGTCTTTATCTCCCCCCAGCCTATGCATATATTTTCTAATGA